TTCTGATTTACATAGTTGTCTAGAAACAACTCATTCTAAGCTCTAATAAGGTTATGGTATTTGTTTTTTTTGCATTTATATGATTTACTTATTCGGAAATTGTGATCATTGTAATCATTATCAGCTCATTTTAAAATGTACGCAAATTTTATTAATTATTCTTTGGAGATTTTATAATGTTTTGAATCATTTGAATTATAGCACGAACTAAGAGTCCCAGAAATAACGCAATTGAATTAAGAAGTGAGACACAAGCACAAACGAATGTATTGTATTTGGAATTCGAAATCGAGCATTCAACAAGTACAAAAGTATCATTAGTCCATTCAAACACCACAGATTTTTAAACAAATTTAAAAATAGAATACTCGCTTATTAAGATTATTATTCATGTAAAAACACACTTATTGATGAACTGATAGTAGTTAAAATAATCAGTTTCAGAATGAATGCAGTACTCAAGTTTAGGATGTACGAACACTGTATACAAAGTCAAAAACGTTTTAGCGTCGACATGACTAAAAGCCCTATGTTATTGACCATAAGGTTCTAAAACCTTTAGCGGCTATTGCACAGCAGTGCGCAGTAGTCTTTAAGTCTTGGCTAACGATGACTCCTAAGTCATTATGTGTCTGAACGACAGGTAGCTCAGTGTTATTCATTGTGTATGCATCTGTACCTTGATGACCGATATGCATCACAACACACTTGGAAGTATTTATCGGCAACTGCCAGGTTTGAGACCATTCAGATAAACTCTTCAGGTCATTTTAGAGTTGTTTGGAGATTTTTAAACAAATTTAAAAATAGAATACTTGTTTATTATTCATGTAAAAACACTCTTATTGATGAACTGATAGTAGTTAAAATAATCAGTTTCAAAATGCGTAGATTATGTGAATGAAGAAAAATGCAATGACCTTATTAAAGCTTACAATTAGGTATTTTAGATTAGTATCATATATGTTGATTGTGAATAAATTAAATATAGAACTAATCAATACAGATAAAATTCTATCTTTGAATTTAATAAGTCTTACTATTCGATTTCTTAGCTGTTTCTAATCTGCACGGTAACTGGAACACAAGAGAAAAAGTGTAAAAACTGGTGACAAGGATGTATTTGACTCTTAAATTAAATGAAAATGATTTAGGAATACACCACGTTTTATAGGATTTATTTCTAGTTAGATTAACAGCCAGATTTGTATAGATTGAACTGAGTGGAATAATTCAATAACTTACTATGTGAACACAAATTTACAGTATTATACAATTAAGGTGTGAATACATGTCACAGGATTAAAAAAAAATCATTCGATATCATAGTACCTTAGCACTCTATTTGATTAAGCCATTAGTCGCTATGTCATGATAACATATCAAACACAAATCTATTGACATTGTGATATGTTGATAATCATATTTCATGTTATAACCTGCCATTCTGTACATACACACTTCATCAATCGTATTCATTATAACATGAAATACAAATTATATACCAAATGGTAATTTATATTCTGTACATTCTATTTGTTAGCCGGATTTTGTAGAGGTGGTAAAATCAAGACATGTTCAGGGACTGGTACCATTTCAAGCCCACATAGGTTATTCTAGCTTCTAAACAGACTATATTACTCATTTTTGTCAAGCCATATTTTGATCTTGCCACTTACTCGCTTATTAACCTTTACTGTTTTTATGTTAGCTTTTGTGTGTACATTTGTCTTACTCATCACATATAAAAGAAAACAGAAATAATAACAGTAGTATTAATCATTGTAAAAGCCAAATAGAATTTAATTCGCGAAGAACATGTGAAATCGAGATACAAAAAAGTACAAAGAAATTAGACAATAAATATAGCGTACATTTTATCCAAAAGAATTCAAGAACATTATCCGGCGTGGCTAAAAAGAGGAGGCAACGGTTCAATAAGAAGTTCTATAATCGGACACCTTGTGAACACAGGTCATTCAATCAAAACAGACTGCGTTCAAAGTCATCAACAAGGTAAGTAGAAGTCTTCCTAAGACAATTAGACTGAATCTTCTCTGTATTGCCGAAGCGATAGCCATACATCTGAAAAAACAGAATTGTGTGTGCAAAAGAGACTGTTACAACCTCTTCTTCTACCATGGTCTTAATGTATTAAAATTTTTCTCTCTTTTTCATACTCTTGTTCCTCTATAGCCATCTGCTTCACCTTCCATCTTCTCTCTAAATCTTCTACCCCCAACTGGTTTGTTTTTATTCCCACGATCATTCCGATTACATTTCATCTCTGTTTCAACATTTTATTTTATCATGCTGAGCCATCCTTTCCCAATGATAATTTACCTATCTATCTTTTGATGAATACTTAAGTCAATAACAATCAAACGATTATTAAACTTTCCTTGTTTTAAAATTTCTTTTATTTTTTAATACCTTTGTTTATCTAACCTCACTGTCACCATGTATAACAAATTTATTATCAACATTATCATCCTGTAAAAATAAGTACATATATTTGCGACTGTACAGCTTTGAAAATGAATTCGCCGAAAAGAGAACTCTTCGCTGAACTAATCTTTCTTATTTAATATCTTAATGGGTGTATTCCGTTTATTAAAATATAACTGCGTCTAGTTTTAAGCTGTCACTTAACTTTTACAACTGTTGATCACGATTAATACATCATGAACCTAGCAAGAATTTTCATCCCTTTGAACGTAACTCACACTAACAGCTAATTACATGTATCTGCCAAAGCAATCACATCAGTAGAACAGAAAGGAGAGCCTATATCTGATTCAAAGAACGTATTCCGAAAAGCATTTAGCAGTGTCATCGTAAGAGATCTCTTTGACACAGGACATGAAGTTGATGCATTGAAGTCCTTCAAGGTGATTAGCAAACAAACTCCAACCTTTTGAAATTTGCCGAAGCGATACCAATCAAACGTCTAAATCCAGATCTATGTACCCAAAAAGAGGCAGTAATAAATCTTTCTTTGATCTGGTAACATAAAAGCCACTTATTTATTACGTCACTCATTATTTCAACTCTTTCTAAAGCTTGCGTTATATCATTGTCATTTTTCTTCAATTCATATCCTTCTCTATTGCCATTAATGTATTTTCAGTTGCTTCATTATACAATCATTTATTGCTTGTTAACACCATGAGTTCTAATCACTATTTCAATGTTCTAGAACTTTACCTCCCAAACGTTATTTATCTGAAACAAATTTTTTTATGACCTCATTAACTCTATTGAAATCTTCGCTACATCCTGATACACATATTTATCTTTATTCACCCTCGAATGTATAAGTATGTCAATATCGGTAAAAACGTTTATTTTAAAATATAGGTTGTAAGCAGTTGATAAGAATCAAACGAAATAAAATGAGTTCATATTATTCTGAACCAGTCTTTGTTTTTGCTCTCTTTAAACTACTTAATAACTTAACTGATCTTAGCATTTCCACCTGCTCATGTGCTAGCCATCACTGCACATTGAAGTAAACAGCATTTAGTCATGCGTAAAACTATATCTCAACCACCTCAGTTAATTTAGATTAAGGGTCGTAATAATCAACCTATTCAATGATTACCTACAACGCTGTATCATTGTTTCACTACATTCCAATAGTTCTCTGAAGATACATGTAATTGTGAATACTTTTCAATATACTTACAAATGTTTCCTACTATAATTAACTGTGTTTCATAATCTTACAACAATACAGGGCAAAATGTTGAACGGTATACTTAGTCTCATATAATAGATAAATAGACAGATATCGCGTTTAAGTTACAGATCTATATCAAAACGGAGGTATGTGTCAAATATACGTCAGTTGTAGAGAAACACAAGTTAATCAAAAACAAGTCAACACAAAATCATCTATATTTTATAGAGCTAGACGAATGAAATAAAACAGAAGGAATTTTCGCACATTCCGATATAAAACAGAGGACTTCGACTTTCCCACACAAAAAAAAACATGTATTACTATAGGCACGTAAAAATACAGACATAAAAATAATTATTCAACAAATCAATCTTTTAGAAAATAACCAGTAGAAAGAAAATCACATAATAGTTCAAATAAAAAAAAAAACAAACAAACAAGAAAACCGATTATGACCAAAACAAAAAAAAGTCACATAAAAACAGAAAAAGATATTTCTATTATCACAATAACACTTGTTTTGTGTTTTTTTTTGTCTAGGCACATGATTGATTATTCAGTAGATAAAACATCTTCAACATAGATCCTCGGACAGATATGGATTAGTCGTTATCAGATTAGCATGATAAGATGAAATAACTGTAGTAACGATGAGAAGGTGGTCTGATATGATAGAGTAAGAAGGTATGTATCTATGAAAGTATAAAGAGATACTGGAATTCAAAATAGAAGTATTGAAATTGTGAAGAAAAAACGGCAATATCAACAACTGTAGACGAATTGAAGAAAAGTGAGGAAATAAATTTCAAAAATAACAGCCAAATTAACTTAGTTCGTTAATCAGTTAGATTGGTGTAGTGATGAGACGATAATTGTGATTAACCCAAAACTGAGAAGCAGTTAATCACATAGATATATAAGAGATGATAATACAAGAGAAAAAATGGAAAGAAATATTTACTTCTCATGAAAGGGGAAGAGTAAAAAACGCCTAAGTATGAAATTAAAAGTAAACCAATTCAAAGAAATTATGTTGACAAGCAAAGACAACAACAACATGAGATGACAAAACAAATCAACCAGCAAATAAGAAGCCAAAATAAAATACAGTCTTCACCTTTAACGTCTCACATCAACAAGGCGCCAAAATATTGTGAAATTATTTGATCAAATTTCGACAAACGATCTTATAAAAGACGTTTTTGTTTTGAAGAGCAAAAAAAATTATTAAAACAAACATAGATCACAGGTTCTCTAAAGAATAAACGTAGATTTCAGCCAGGCACACACACACATACAAATATATAGGTATGTGAATAAATAGAAAATGAGTAAGAAACATTGGAAATGGTGAAACAATATGCACTTGTACTGATAAATAAATAGCTTCTTCATTTAAAGAAAAACAAACATACAATCTCTTAAATCTTATTCAGATTTTGTTTTGTTTTCGTTTATTCAATTAAACAGATTTATTTAATTGACAATAATAATTTGACAAAACCTTCCATGCTTTCTCGGCCATAAATCCATTCGGTGGTTCCACACCGTCACGAGCTAATGTACGCATTTTAGTACCAGAAATAAACAGAAAATCTGATGAACGTTTTGAATCGAAAAATGACATTTTGTTGATTGTCTTGTCATAGGCAGCAACACGAAATGGAATAATTTTCAAGTTGGCTAAACCAGGAGCCATAGATAATACCTATCCACATATTTTTTGACAATAAAATAAGATAAACACAATTCTATTATTATATCATTGATAATTGAAAATTTATTCAAACTGTGGATAAAATAGCAATACTATATATGTAATTCTCCGAGGGACTCAATAGATTTATGATACTAAGTACTAGGATTTTTGTTTGCTTATTACATAGAAAATCCGGTACAACTCGATGCCAAAGTTGTATACGCCACATAATAGATTATTATGTTGGTGGATGGAGTGGGATACTGTTCGAACGATCAAAGTGATGTAGACAGTTTTCATAGGGGTCTAGTTCAACTTGAAGTCTTTAAACTAGTGGTCTAATCCACAAGGTAGTGGAGCAACATCGAGAGATAGAGGTCAGTGGGAACGTATGAGAAAAGGGTTTCATAAATTACACTTGTGTGCTAAAAATGTACAAAGCATATCTACTTAACTGTGTAATTGAAATTCGTATTTCTGAGCGTCGAAATTCCATTAAATGCGGGCTGAGAAACTGTTTTCCCCATAGTAACCATGTTTTTTTCATTGTAATTACCTCGTTTCGTGATATATTTATCTCAGGAGTGTGAATGTCATATAAAAACTTCAAATATAAATTTGGCTGGGGCAATGGTCAAAATTTAGGATCAGGGAAATTCCAAGTGTCCCTGAGAATCTTTGAAAGCATGTCATTCAAATCGATCAGCAATTAATCGACACACTGATTGCGACTGAATCTAACAACCCATAAGAAGAAAAAACCATCTAACGGCCTGACCAAACATCAACGGAACAAAGTAGTCAACTTGAATATACAAACGCAAACCAATAACTGAGATGAAACTAAGTTAAAAGATCGTAGTATTTGTGCCAATGGAGGAAAAGAGTTTTTCACAATCTTCAGCATTATTTAAAAAAGAAAACCGAACAATTTATTATGACATTGATTCACATTTAATAAAGTCTATTCATAGGTGTCATTATCAAGGTTTGATTTGATAATTTCGAATAAATTGAGCATAGGGTTGATTGTTATAAATAATATATATATATATATATATATATATATATATATATATATATATATATAATTTTCTACTCATTGGGATATTACAAATATATTATTTTTATTTAAAAGTCTATTCATGTACAGTTACCACAGTCTCTTGTTGCTTCCACGAATTTTTGAAAACTTTTTAACGTTACTGAGGTCATTACCGACCACAGTTAGACAACCATTGAAAATCAAGAAGTACTGGACAGTTGGTTTTTCGCAATATCGTAAACTGACCAAAGTTAAACACGCAAACCATTGGACGCTAGCTTGAAAATCTAAAGGTTAAGCTCATGCCGTGAAAACTGAAGCTCATGGTTTCGATCCCAGATGGGTTTGTGGATACACACTATTGAGGAGTCCCATGCTGGAACGAAACGACTTCAGTGTTCCCTGATTTTCACTATTTGTTGATATGTTATATAAATGACAACACTTAATTAAATTTAATTAGGAATTTTATGATACAATAGGAACTGTTGATAATGTGAAACAACACATATACAACATACCTTAGCACCATGAGATGGATCATACAAATCAACACCTGTTCCATTAGGATGAGGTAAACCCGCTGGATCTCGTCCAACTATATAATACTGAGCACCGGCTAACATTCGTGTACGAGCATGCCATTGGACTTCACGTGGTCCGGCGTATAACATTGGTGAAGGAAATATTGCCAACAAAGTTGTATCACGATCAAGAACACCTTCATCTAAACAAGCTTCATGTTGAGCTATACGTACATTGAGTGGAACATCATCTGACTTTGTCCAACCTCCAAGTGGATGAAGTAATAACACAGGATTATGATATCCATGTTTTTCTAATAATTGTTGCCTAGTTTCAGTCATTAATAATGCATGACCGTTATGTATAGGATTTCTCAGTTGAAAGGCAAAGACACAGTCAGCCTAATTAATTTAAAATTAAATAATAAAAGACTAGAAAATGCAAACGTAATTAATAAATCAGCTAGGAAATATTTCATTTATGATTATGATCGCATTCTATTGTCCTTATATGGGAAATAACACTGAGCCATTCTTAAATTGAATTTCACATTTAAATATGAACATCGCTATTGAGTACTACTGGCTTTCATAGACAATAATTATGACTTTTAAGACTTATTTTTACACGAGATTTATTTATTTAAACACATAAACATTAGTACAAGGAGGAACCAAATGTATATGGGCCATACTTCACCATTCGATTTCTGTGAGGGCAGGAATACTGCCCGGGTGTCCGAACGGAAGCAGGTGGTTTTCTTAGGGGACCACTCCCTGAGTCTTTGGCCTAGATGTCTAATCCACAAGGCAGTGGAGCAACGTCAGGATGCGCATGTCTGTAACATGGAAAAAAAGACAGGTATGCAACTTGAGCATATGAATTTCAAAAAATAGACTAAACACTTGACGACTGAGACAGTAACATTAGGAACTGTACCCCAAACGACTGGATTAGATTATTTTGTCCATCATAATCAACTTAGGACAGTATCATCTTAGGCAAACCACCCTACGCTCATTTGGTCACTTCACGAAACGCTAGCAACTTACATGTTTAAGAAACTGTATACTCTCCTGCGTTTAACTAAATTACCCAAAGTTATTCACTACTCAATATTACAGCTTCCGAAAGCTACAAAACCAATTTGTCCACCATCCAAGTTACATTAGAGCGTATCATGTGCTTAAACGAAAAGTAGGTAGGCAACATTTTTAAAAAAATGCATCATTAATGTTTACCTTCATTTTTACTAATTCACTATGTAATTCTTTTGGCATTAAACGATACCGATCTAAACCATCATTCCATTTGATTCTTTCGAATACTTTTAAATCACCGCCAACTAACCAATCACCAGATGACATAATCATTTCTATACTTGGATGATTTATATGATTAGTTCCAAATATGTGACAACATCGTTCTTCCTATATATTTCACAATTATGAAATAGAAAGAAATTAGTTATAATTAAAAATAAAAGAATGACCCAAGTTATCAACAATTTACAGTAAGCATCTACCAACTATAACATGTAGTACAGATCACCGTCACGAACTAAAGATAAACCGGTATCCTTATCAAGAAAGCACCAGTGTTCACCTGCATGATTGCAGATATACTTTACAGACAAGTATCAACTATTATGAAACCTAAGTTTAGAATTTTCATTCCGACTACCTTTAATGGTCTAATAATAGTCTAAAGGTTATATGGTAGTCTAACTCGCATGGTAATACTGATTTCGAACAACGTTAACCACAGTTAAACCCGTCTAGAATGAATTAAACTGTAGGCAAATAAAACGTTTCTAAATTGTCATAAATAACTCTCAAATCAATAGTTAAATAATCTTGACAAGAAAAAAATTACTTGTCAAAATGTAGGAAATTGTTTACTTGAAGAATAGAAACTTTCAGTCAAAATGAATTCAAAAGGTTAACTAGTCATAAAGAGAGTAGCTGCATGAGTTACTGAATGTTCCATGACTAAGTGTCAGACAACTAAAACTAACAAACTCAACACAAAATATTGATTTCAATAATCATATTAACGGTTCAGTCTTTTTCTATATTTCAGTCATTGAGTGTCAGTAATAATTTTCAAAATAATGTAAGACAAATCATAAGCGTGCTGATTTTTATCAACTAGATAGGATGATCTTTATGAATAAGAACAAAATACATGTAAACCACTGAATACCAGCTAGATAGTCTAAAGGTTCATCTCTCGCTACAACATCGCTGGTAAGGTAATGGATGTACATTGAGATGAAGGAATCTCAAACTGAGACGAAACAGCTATCCAGAGCTTTCTGATTTTCAGTGATTGTCCAACCAAAATCGATTCTCAATATTAACTACAAAATTTAATGATCTCTACAAACCCCTGATATTGATAAGAAAACAGCTGTAAGCTATGTTGTTGCGTAAGAACATGAATACACCAACGATAAACAATTTTCACCTACTTTACGGTGAGGGAAAAATTCACAATTTTGTAACATTCCAATTATATTACTTTTATATACGAAAGCTATCGATGAACCATTCCCATGAAATCTTTCTTTATCCTCATTTGATATAGCTAATACAATTGGAATCGAGAAATTTGTAATCACTGAACCTGCAATCACACACAGAAACATAATATGAAATAAGGAATATTATAATACATAGTTCAGTTTAAAGTATTGTCAAAAAAGAATTATATATATTCACATTTAGGTTACTGAACCTTTAGTGGTCCTTTATCTGAATCCAGTTAGATCGTACGCTGATTGCTATTAAAATATACATGTCGCTAACCCTCGTATATAACTATCAATTTAATTCACGTTAGAGAATAACGGAATAAAATAAGCCAAATATGAGAATTAATTTTGAATACACATATTTCATACACTCATTGACCCGGATAGACAATCAGACAAACGAAGTGGAGAAAGAAAAGGGAAGAAGGTGAAACGAAGCAAAGAAAGCGAGTGAGCCAACTCGTTTTGATTAAGTGTGACTCAATATTCATAGTCAGACAAAAAATAAATTACAGACACGTAATGAATAGGGGGAGAAGAATGGACAAACTGGTCTGTCTAGAATAGCCTATGTGGTCTTGACATAGTGAACACAGATGAGGACAACCGAATTATATTCAGCACAACATTATAGTTACTTGGTGAAACAGAAAAACCATACTACAATATCTAATTTGCAAAATGTTCAATAATTGTCTCGGACTTCATTGCTCTTGCATTTCTATGCGGACTGCTGCCAGACATTACATTCCTGACATGCGTTATAAACTACTTATGTCAATATAAGTAGCACGCACCACAATAGTACCAGACACTACAAATCTTCATGGATTTATTTATTTATCTAAACACATAAACATTGGTACATGGATGCACCAAATGTTTATACGCCATATAAATCATTCGATTGGTGTGAGGGCTGGGATACTGTCCGGGTGCCCAAACCGAAACAGGTGGTTTTCTTAGAAAGCCACACCCGGAGCCTTCGACCTAAAGGTCTGATCCACGAGGGAGTGGAGAAACGTCAGGAGATACAGTCTCGTGGTAGCCGGTGATCAACGATCGGTTCATATGCCGTTTGTTCCTTCAGGATTCAGGAGCCCATGTGCATCAGTGGTTTGGAATCAGGGTTTCCCAACTTCCCTATGTGAATACTCCATATCCACCAACCCAGTTAATGTGCCAGACATTTGCTTTTCGTCCTCTCAATTTCGTAAACAACACCCCAGCCACGAAAAGGCAGTGAGTAGCGCTTCCCCAGGAGTGGCTGTATATGTGTGGCCATGTGAGAGCATTTCGTGAGGGAGAGCTGACTCCCCCCACTCTCGGCCGTACCAGGGCATTTAGAGGCTCATGGATTGATATGGTTGGGACATGTATTACATATGGCTCAACTACCACCTACCTAGATGAAAACTGTTGGTTGGTGTAGGAATAGGTCAGAAGGCTATGGTCTGACAAACCAAGATATGGTTCCATTAGTCGATGAAATTATTGCCTGCTAAACATTTTGTCCTTCCTTAAACTATGGTCTTTTTTTATTTATCTTAAACTTTCCTATTCCGTGAATTTATTCTTTCTCCTTAAACTATACTATGTGTTTAATCTGTCCCAATATTACTGATCTTGCCACTACTACTCTAGCATTTATCTTCGTAATTTAGTGTCGTGCTGATATGGTATGAGAACTTAAATCCATATACCTAGGTCCCAGGTTCTATATTTCGTTAATTGACTAACTACTTAGCATAATCATTTTGGAATGATAATAGAATCATAATGACGATGACCAATCCACCCTCAAAACGAGTGATAACCGGTAGAGAGATAAATCATTTTTATATTGTTTGTTTGGACCTTTCTATTGATGTTTAGGACTGCAATTGATCAGTCTCTTGTTGGTATATGTACATCCTGTGCGGATTGCCTCGATATTGTCTTAAGTCACAAGCTTTATAAGCAAAGATGGATGGTGATTAGCACTGGAATCCAGGACATGCATTTCGTCCCATCTGGGACTTGTCAGCTGGATGTACATGCATTGCAGAGTTGATGTTCAATCCGGGAACCGGATCCAGTACCGTTCGCTTCAAACGCCATTACGTTATCCACTTAGCTACTGAATCCTGATTGAAGTGAACGATACTGGGTTCGAGTCGCGAAATTAACACCAACTCTGGGATGCAAATACATCCAGCTGGCGAGTCCCAAATAAGACGAAACGCGTGTCTTGGATTCCAATGCTTATTACCATTCATCTTTGCTTATAATGTCGGTGAAGAGATAGCTTAATATTTAGAGAGTTTCGACTTGTTAATTCGAGTCTCATTCCACCTGCTTGGGTTTGGGGAGCCGAATAATACTACTAGCCCTAATAAATAAGGTCTAGTTCAAAGCCAATTACATGAAGCTGTAATTGATGAGAACAAAAACCATGATGAACACCATGAATACAGTGACGTTTTTTAGCCTTAGCTAGGAACATTTGAGTAATTATTTGTACCTAACTATTACGTGATTTCCCAAAATCCACTTTCATATACAATAGTGTGATTCTGTTTGAAGTTTGAGAATGTTAAGAACGCCTTGTATGATGCTTTTATAGTCTTCATTTCTTTAAAGTGGTCAAGACGGGAAAAATAGTCAAAATACAAACATTTTTAGGATTAGAAATCTCTGGTTTATACTTTATCATAAATATGAGTTAATGATTGATGATACAGTGTAGATTACGATACTGTTACATTGTCTTGAAAAAAAATTTCTCTTTAATGTTAACAGAAACGCATCACAAAGATTATGTAATCGAGATCAACAATTTTCAAAGTGCTAGAAATTCCAAAACAATAACATTTTAGTTAGAAAAAAATCGAAGATAGTAGTATTAGAGTTTACGAAATGAGTACAGTTCTGTAATTTTTCAACTATTAGATTATCCTAAACAAAATTAAATAACCAATAAAATAAACTTACAGTCTGATACTTGCAATTGACCAAAATAGAGAACTTGCAAATATTCATTTTCACGCATAAAACCATTTAATGGTGTAGCCCAACCTTCAGCTAGTGTTTGTATCCACTGAAGATCCAATTCTGTAATTTCCAAATGAGGTAGACTTAAACATTGTGCCTTTAATTTTTGAACTTCCAGAGGATCGGTCACATATAATTCTTTGGGCATAGGACCACCAAATGGATTTACTTCATCACAGTTAGGCACTAGTCCCTAAAACAATGTGCATAAAGAAACTGAATCGAACTACGTAAGACAAATTTGAATGCTAGTTAGCTGGAAGTAGCCGGTAGGATACCTTAAACTAACGTTAGGTGTTAATTAGCGCTTGATAGTAAGACGTACTTAGAATTTTGAGGACACTAATGATGCTTCCAGTGGGGTTCGAATTCACGTCGTCACATTGCTGTAAAGATTCTAACTCTGATGAACATTTGCCTTTTGATGCGGTTATGTAGATAGATTAGTATTTTCTTAAGGGATTGACATTGGACAAAGAATCCGTTACAATCCAACAAAAATGAACAGTATTCCTGATCATTCGAAAACTTCTTAATGTTCACTCATTTTAAAACCTACGGTGTGCTATTTATAAGTTACCAGTCTTAAGATACAAAGTCAGTATTTTCTAACGCTAATAAACACAAGATCAATTGAGGCTATTTTCTAATTTAATTAAGATACGACAATGTAAAAGACAATTAAACGAATATCCATTCAAAGAGTGGTTTTGATCAGTAGGAAATATCGTTATTATTTATTTTTATTTAAACACAAACATTGGTACAAGAAGGCACCAAATACATATGCGCCACATAAATCATTCGGTTTAAGTGAGGGCTAGGATACTGCCCGGGTGCTCGAACCGAAGTAGGTATAGGAAATATCGATTCAAATACTTAGTGATTAAATATTCATCTGAAAAGTAATTTAGGGTGAAGTCTTAAAAGTCGAAACTTTTTAGTACCAGTTTTTATAAGTAACCTTTCATATATGTCTGGGAGAGCTAACTCATATTAAGTAAAACTTTTCAAAACAGTTAACCCAATATATCGACTTTGTTGCTAAAGTATATTGAAACTTCCAGTTTATTTATTCATTATTATTCGAGGTAGAGTCTGGTACAAATGCAAGTATGATAGAAATATATATTACAATGTAATTAAGCATGAGCCTCACACTTTAAGTGTAAGGGTAAACTATGCTACCCGGTTGTTTAAACCAACGTAGGTGCAGCGGGATTCAGACCGTGAACATGGTGTCGGAAAGCTGAACACCCTAACCATTAAGTTACAAATATGCATTGGTTGGAGTTGCCATACCACAGTATCAGCACGGTGGGATGAAACTAACATAAATAGTAAAGGAGTCGAACTAATGTAGTAGCAATTATGAAAAGATAGATTAAATCCTGAGAACATGGTCTTAAATTTGAAAGAACAAAGTAGGAAATTATGTATGGGGGAATACTTGAATTTAAGATCTAGAGAGAAATATAGAGTGAGTGCAAATCATACATTGTAAACAATTTTGACCCATGTTATGCGACTTCTCTCATTTCTGACCATGACTATCGTATGAACCTCAACCAGATAGTCTGTATCAATCAACATGGCTCAGACCAACGGTCCATGGCTTTGTAGATTGAAGGCAGGTTTTAGTTTGACCGACTCTACCTTTTTCATACCCCACACCTACACGAGCTAAATTGAACATTTGAGGTAGGTGATAATGAACTATGTGTAACCCATATCTTAACCGCCTCAGTTAATGGAGATTCACAAACTCATATTTCAACTAACATCGTAAACTTTGATATCATTTACTGGGCCAAAATGAATCAAGATTTATTTTAAAAAGCGGTGGGGAAAAAAGGACTTCGCAGTTTAGTGTGTCCAAACTGTTAATAATAAAAACAATATAACTCTTGAAATTCGTTGTACACAGTTTTGCATCATATTTTTGTAAAACAAAAAATTATACATACTGTTATATTTAGAACTTGTATTCTTACTAGACCACGCACAACTAGAGCACTCGAACACGAGGACCCTCCAGGTTGCAAGTTAGAAGATGAATGAGAAAGAATCTTATTCCTAACAGTGTCAAATATGGTACAAAATACTCAGATATTTGTAGTTTTTAGTAAAAACGAAATCATCATTACAATCATCCAATCCGTATGCAGTAACTTTTAACATTTATCCAGTCGGGAAGCTACACAGCGAGATTCTGGAATGTTCTTCAGAGGATGATTAAATGGTATGTCTACGGCTCTTTCTGAGCTTCTAAGAGCTTTTTTAAGTTCACCAGGGGCCGTCCCTACAGATAATATGCATCTTAAAATAAACTGAGTAAAGTGGAGTTTGAAACTTAGGACTTACTAGTTAAAAAATGGATATTTCAACGACTAAGCAACCTAGGATATTATTTCATAGTGTTTTTATAATTTCTATCATAATGTTATAAAAATATGATCAAATGTATCATTGTTAACCATAAATAATCATTAGTAAAAATTAGGAAAAAAACATTGTCATAAGCAAACAATGTAAATTAGTATCAAACACAAAAAACACTATTCCTAATTAAAGATAATTTAACATTATCATTATTACCATTGTTATTCATTATTGTAGATTACTGATAGTTTTCTTTCTTTTTTGAAGAAGTACTTTGAGAAGAAAACTATGTATAAACTATTTCTAACACACTAATAACCATCGATATTAGAACAGAATTTCACGACAACTGTCAACAATTTATGGCTTTTATAGATTCTAGGTATCAATATATTGGTATGCATATCTTAGTTGTAACAAGATTATAACGACGCATTAAAACTTGTAAAAACACTGACTGGAGCCCCTCCGGGGGCTACTGCCAGTCCCAAGCCCGGGTAAAGGAGGAGGGTTGGGCATGGGGTTAGCGACCACATCCCGTAGAAAACTAACTCGCTAAAAAACGCTAACCAGAAAAAATTATTCAAACCTTTTAAACTCTACCCTGGGAGTCAAGTCTTCATTTAGAAGAGTTATGACGCCTCATGATGAAAGCCGAGTTCCTTCGGAAGTCACGAGGCCGATGCCCCTTCTGACAACCACAGCAACCATTTACTTAGGTACATGGAATACTCGTACAATGTGGGAGACCGGGAGAGTCTTCAAAATCGCTGCAGAAATGAGGAGATACAACCTAGAGGTGTTTGGGATCAGTGAAACACATTGGATGCAAGTTGGACAACAACGAATAGCTTCAGGGGACCTTCTGTTATACTCCGGCCGTGAAGAAGAAAGTGGCCCACATACACAAGGAGTTACATTGATGCTGTCCGAACAAGCACAAAATGCACTTATAGGATGGGAATCTCACGGACCAAGGGTCATCAAAGCCTCCTTCAAAACAAAGAAAGAGGGCATTTCAATGAACGTCATCCAATGCTATGCGCCTACCAACGACTACAATGAAGACGCTAAAAATCAGTTCTACGATAGGCTGCAGTCAATCATCGAGAAGTGCCCAATAAAGGACCTGACCATTATAATGGGAGATTTAAATGAAACGGACAACACTGGATATGAAGACATCGTGGGACGACACGGACTGGGAGAAAGGAACGCAAATGGTGAGAGATTTGCAAACCTATGTGCCTCCAATAAATCGGTCATAGGCGGCACCACATTCCCACATAAACGCATTCACAAAACCACATGGACTTCACCGGATCACACCACGCAAAACCAAATCGACCATATCTGCATCAACAAAAAGTTCAGGAGGATGATGGAAGACGTGAGAACAAAGAGAGGAGCTGATATAGCATCAGACCATCACTTGCTGATCGCTGAGATGAAATTGAAACTCAAGAAGCACTGCACAACGGGGCGGACAACATCACAAAAGTTCAATACGACTTTTCTTCAGGATACAGACAAACTCAACGAATTCAATATAGTCCTCAGCAATAAGTCCCAGGCCTTTCATCATCTACTCAATGGAGAAGGAACTACTATGGAGAGCAACTGGAAGGGGATAAAAGAAGCAGACACTTCAACATATCATGAGGTCTTGGGCCACAATAAGCACCATCACAAGGGACGGATCACTGTTGATGCACTGGATAAGATTCAAGAAAGGAGGGACAAGAAGGCAGTAATCAGTACCAGTTGAACAAGAGCAGAAAAAGCCAAGGCACAAGCTGAATACACAGAAGTAAAAAAACGAGTGAAAAGGAGCATCAGAACTGACAAACGTAAATATGTGGAAGATTTGGCAACGACGGCGGAAAAGGCTGTAAGAGAAGGAAACATGAGACAACTGTATGACACGACAAAGAAACTCTCTGGAAATTACCGTACACCAGAATGACCAGTGAAAAGCAAGGAAGGATAGGTAATCACCAACATTGAAGAGCAACAAAACGGGTGGGTAGAACACTTCAAAGAACTCTTGAATCGACCAGCTCCACTGAACCCACCCAACATCGAAGCAGGACCCACGGATCTCCCAATCAATGTTGGCTCACCAACAATTGAAGAAATCAGCATGGCCATCAGACAAATCAAAGGTGGCAAAGCAGCAGGACCGGACAACATCCCAGCAGAGGCACTAAAAGCAGACGTAGCGGCAACTGCAAGGATACTCCACATTCTCTTCAATAAGATTTGGGATGATGAACAAGAACCAAAAGACTGGAAAGAAGGACTTCTGATCAAAATACCGAAGAAAGGCGATCTCAGCAACTGTGATAACTACAGGGGCATCACTCTCCTCTCAATACCAGGAAAAGTCTTCAACAAGGTATTGTTAAACAGGAAGGACTCCGTAGACGCGCAACCTCAAGACCAACAGGCAGGATTCCGTAAGGATAGATCGTGTACAGACCAAATCACAAATCTACGGATCATTGTGGAACAATCAATTGAATGGAATTCATCACTCTACACCAACTTCATTGACTACGAAAAAGCATTTGATAGCGCAGACAGAACAACACTATGGAAGCTTCTTCGACACTACGGAGTACCTCAGAAAATAGTCAATATCATACAGAATTCCTATGATGGATTAAACTGCAAAATCGTGCATGGAGGACAGTTGACAAACTCGTTCGAGGTAAAGACCGGTGTCAGGCAAGGTTGCTTACTCCCACCCTTTCTCTTTCTCCTGGTGATCGACTGGATCATGAAGACGTCAACATTTGAAGGGAAGCACGCGATACAGTGGACATCTAGGATGCAGCTGGACGATTTAGACTTCGCAAATGTTCTGGCCCTTCTATAGCACACGCAACAACAAATGCAGGAGAAGACGACCAGTGTAGCAGCAGTAGATCTCAATATACACAAAGGGAAAAGCAAGATTCTCCGATACAACACAACACGCACCAATCCAATCACCATTGACGGAAGATGTGGAAGATGTGAAAATCTTTACATATTTGGGCAGCATCATTGATGAACATGGTGGGTCTGATGCAGATGTGAAGGCGCGGATCGGTAAAGCAAGAGCAGCATATTTACAACTGAGGAACATATGGATCTCAAAACAACTCTGTCAACCGACACCAAGGTCAGGATTTTCAATACAAATGTCAAGGCAGTTCTACTGAATTGGGTAGAAACTTGGAGAACTATAAAAGCCACCATCTAGAAGATACAAGCGTTCATCAATAGTTGTCTACGCAAAATACTTCAGATCCATTGGTCGGACACTATTAGCAACAACGTACTGTGGGAGAGAACAAACCAGATCCCAGAGGAGGAAGAAATCAGGAAGAAGCGCTGGAAGTGGATAGGACACACATTGAGGAAAGCACCAAACTACGTCACAAGACAAGCCCTCACATGGAATCCTCAAGGCTAAAATGTGAAGAGGAAGACCAAAGAACACATTACGCCGGGAAATGGAAATAGACATCAGAGAAATGAACAACAATTGGATGGAACTAGAAAAGAAGGCGGAGGACAGAGTGGGTTGGAGAATGCTGGTCGGCGGCCTATGCTCCATTGAGAGTAACAGGCGTAAGTAAGTAAGTAAAACTTGTAAAATCGAACAATAAAATAGTGAAAATAGTAATAATAATAATAATATGAAAGCTACATATTGTTCTAGTATTGCTCTCATTTCGATCTTAATTTAAAAAAAGAAAGCAGATGAAGTTTTGTGCAGAAAATTTAGATTATTTAGTTGTCACCAATAAGTTACAGGTACGCACACGTATGGTTTAATTCAGTCTCAGCAGATAAATGGTATAGTTATTATGCATTATGATGAATGTTACAAGTTTATGGTTAACTCAGGGTTTAATAAATGATTGTTAAATTATAAAACCACCATAAAACGTACAATAACCTTAAAGTTGAATGTTGAGTATTGTGAAGACAGTCAGTCAGTTATAAACAACGTACAACCTGGAACGTATGTGTATCGATTCAAGTTACCACATCAAATAAGGACGGTAAAGTGCTAGCGTAGCAGATATAGTAACGATATCAGTTCTAGCAACAACAAAAAATAAGGCACAGGAAATTCCAGTGAAAATGAATTTATGGGATAGAATAATACAAGACAACTTGAAAACTCAATATCTCAGGGAAGATTAAAAAATCAGTGTATTTGTGCTTCTGAGAATGATCCTTAAGAATGTTACACAACGTCTCCAACCATTGGCTATGATAAGTGCGTAAGACCCAGCCACGTAGTTTGGATCAATCAACTTGGTTCACCAGACCAACAGTCAATGGTTTCACGGAGTGTCACATCTTGGTTTGGACGGCTCTAGCTTTGCTCCAACTTATATTTACATTAATGAACATCAGGCATTGAAATAGGCAACAGGTCAGGCAAACATAGCACATTTCTCAACTAACTCAGTTAGTGAAAACTCATTACCTCATTAATCGGTTTGCCGTCTTTATCTATTATTCTGTCTAACCTCAGGATTTCTAAATAATTGGTCCCAACACACGTAAACAATCCGAAAGCATTTATAAACAAACACTAGAAACTCAAGAATATTTCTTATTTTTAAAGGTTACATTTTTGGGTCACAGAGTAGAACAGAACGAACTGCTATACAGTGTACTCATCCTCTAGTTGGCAGCCGGATATCTTGCACATATAAGTGGAAAAAATTAGCATAAGCTATTAGAGATAGTGTACAAGGGAACTGAAAACAGTAATTGTTCTGCTAATCGTTATGACATATTTAAGGAACATTGCTGACTACAGTTTTCAAATAATATCTCAAAAAAATAAGCGTTAAATATGTTTAAAGCCAAATCACAAACAATAATTTGAACACAGTTTAGTATCCAAGAGATTTGTTGTATATGTTAAAAATTTATATAAAATAAATGCTTCGTTCTTTTTAGGATGTAAACAATTAAATATAGTTATCTTTGAACTTTACGTTTACAACTATATGTCACAATATCAACACTAAAGTATACAATTTGTTGGTAATTAATTTTCACGAGTATGATATACAGTGTGCATAAACCAGGAGGGCGGCACATTACATTTGAAAGATTGATAAGAGCATTTTCTATTATACATAACTCTGGTTAGGAATAGCTGAGAACAAGAATAGCAGTAGTCACATAAAAACTTGTAGGAATGTAGCCAATAATATTAGGTTCCTTATGAAGTCAGTCAGAGTAGTATATCTCGGTCTCATCTTACTAGTCCTACTAAAAGGTGTACATAGTGCAATGTAGCATCTGCCTCTCAGTTATTCTTCTGAAACTTGATCATTTCCAGTTGAGAATATTTGACAGTTGTTTTAGTTCAGCACTGTTTCTTGCAAATTTCTCATTTGCTACACATTACGGATCACAATCGACATCCATTGTGGGAGGAGTCGGTCGTAATTTAATTATAAATGAAATGGTTTAGTAAGTACCTTGACCATAATATTCATTCATGATGTAACTAGTTTACCGCATTACAGATTTCTGTACTCTGGTTGGAATCAAATTTTATATATGAAACCTAGTTATACTAACCGGCTGTCAAAATTGAAATAAGTGGAAGTGGATTAAAACATATGACCGAGTGGTTGAAAGATGAACAATCTTTAACCATAACTAAGCCATTGTTCTGATATAATTCACCAATAAAATAGTCTTTACTTTCCCCAAATTAATTATATCATAAAACTGAAGTTAGATTTCATTAAAAGCATCACCGAATAGAAATACAATCAATATAATATAATAAGATACAATGTCATAGTTTCTTTACAGAAAATTGAAATATCACTTACAGCTGTAGCTAACATTTGTACACATTTAGATACACACTCTTGAACAGAATACAATTCAGTATTTAAAATTAAATCAGGATTTGTTGGATTTTCATAAATTGCAGAGATACCAGTAAAATTTTTTATTTGACCAGCACGTGCACGTTTATATAACCCTTTTACATCACGTCGTTCACATACCTCAATTGGGGTAGCTAGAAAAACTTCAAAGAATGGTAGATTGTTTTGAGAGTGCAACATGCGAGCAGCATTTCTATCCTGAAGACAATGAATAAATTAAGTAGTTTAAGTGTAAGAATGAAAGAAAATGATGTAGAATTCATTAAAATTGTCTATTAATGGATTGAATATTATTATTAATTTACTCACATATCTACTTTATATTGATGTCTTTGGCTTTGAGTTACAAGTTAATTACCATTACGGTTATTCAAAACGAAATACGTGGGTGCAGTTGAAATCCAAAACCTACTAGTTAAAAGTCGAATGGTTTAACCACTAACCAACTAACCAGCAGTTCCATGAAAATCATTTGTTCATCATATTTACTTGTTAGGAATTACTCTAAATAGATTCATCAATATTTAAAAATTAAGTAGTAATCCCAAGTTAATTTTTATCTATGAAGAATAGAAATAATCACCTCGTGAGCTTATTTATAATATGGGTGTAAAGTATTCTACTTGCTAATATAAGACAATCTTTATGAGGAATTTGTTTTTGAGAACTTGTGATATCTGTTGCTCGTTTTAAACAAGACTGCTTAAAAAGTTTTCACTAGTAAATACTTGACAAAATATGGGAATAAATATTCTACTCTTTATAAAGAATATCATTTTGATTAAAATTAGTTAGTGATTTTATCAACAAACGCTAGATGAGTATTGATATGAACGGTTTATATCAATTTCGTGATGATTGTCATTTATCAGGATAAATCAGAAATTTTCAAGGCCATTGTATAAAGAGCATTGCAATTGTAACGAATATGACAAACTATTCATGTCTATTAATAAATTTTGTTAAATAAACCCTTAAGAAAACCTTAGTAATAATATATCGACAGTATGAAATGATATAATTAGGTAGTTTACACCATTTAAGCTAATTCATCTTAACTCATACAAACGTATAGTATATAGATGGAGGTTATCTGAAGTAACGATAATAATTACCCGTATCCATCAGACATATATACTGTTATTATTCATAATGTGGGCTCTGTTTATTTTCCATCTGATTGTCTGAATAAACTTAAGCAAATGGACTACATATTACTTGATGAAAAAATCGCAACAAATTCGGGTTTTCTTCTTGAACAACTTGATTGAAAATTTGCGTTAAGTATGTGTTTTGCGTCTATCAACTGTGAGATGATGAGTTGCAAAATTATATGTACGATACGACTACGTTGAGAACAAGTTAAAGATGATTGAAAAGAAATAAAATATCAGTTCACAAAGTTCCTGACTACTTGTTCGTGCTGCGTAGGTTAATTGAATGGAGATTCTTTAAATGCCATGAGGAATCAATAGTTCTAGATTCAAAGTTAATCAGTCATCAACGTGAAAACTGAAACTGATGTAGATAGAAGTAGAGGTAGATATTTTCCTCCCAAACCTAAACACCCAATTATTCCTTATTCATTGGCCTTTTTGACTACTCAAATCCTTCTATTTCAGTGGATTTTCGTCTAGTGACATTGCAGCATGGGACTAAAGCCTGCGTACATTTATATAAAATGCTTCGTAATCGTGTTAAATTATTATAGATAATTTAAAGGTGGCTTCTGAAGCAAAGCGTCCGGCGTCTACAGTTCAAATGTTTATGAAATAAAGTCTAGTATATCATACTGAAAGACTGTCATTAAAGTATTTCATAACATTATTGATCATATGAGTTAGGCAAATTTCTAATATAAGTTTGAAAACCTATATCATTAAACTACGTGTCTGAGGAAACAATCTATAGATAAATAAGGTCATTATAAGATTACAGTTACCTCACACGAAACAAACCATTTCTATTGTAAGATGATGTTCAAACTGAAGTCAGTCAGTCAGTTATTTATAAAGCACACTAAAGTACAATACACGTTCATTTTACAATCTTAATGATCTATAAAACGAACAAAATTCTAAGTAAAAAACATCTGATATTTTACTGTAAAGTTCACTTCTAGCAGGATAATTGCAATTTAGACCAAAATAATTGAAAAAGATGGAGCATTTTGTAAATTACAGTCAAATCAGTCAGTCAGTAACAACGCAGAACTTCGTACGTACGTACATCAGTTCGAGTTGCCATACCACATTAGCACAGAGATGCAGCTGTCGATTCGAATCCCCTAGTGGTAGACGTAATAAGAGTATAAGCAATAATCCGAAAGATTCAGGTTTGAAGATATTATTTCGATTCACTGAAGATCTTATTACACTAATTATTTGTAGGTTATTAAATCTAGTCTCCATACAGTTTCTTTTACATACTTAAATATTCATTCATTCACAGTACCTAAAAAGCTCCATCTTTGATATAAGCTAGAGAAAAACAATCAAATTTTACATTTTTAAGGTATATGCCGGTTTTTATAAATAACTTCCTCTAAAAGACAGTTTTTGTCTATTGGTAATGAAATAAGTCGTTAGTTTCTCGCTTATTCATGCAAATTTACCTTATTAAACGTTGTTTCTTTCCGTTTGCTCAGTTATAAAAGTGCTGTCAAAACAGTTTCATCACTCTATAACATTTGCTATAATGATTTATTTAGCCAGTCAACACATCCTGTGGTCGATTAGTCTCTTCCGGCATATGTACGTCCGAAGATTGACTTGATAAAGTCGTATTACCACACATTTTAGTAAAATTGGACTGTGACCACCGGTAGAACCCAGAATTCACGTTTTATCCTATTTGAAAAACACTAGGACCGATAATTTAAGCAGACAGGAAGCGTTAGTCGTGCGTGCATGGATTTCCTAAATTGTAAGCCCAATAAATTCTTTTGTATTTAGTGTTATGTAAAATGACACTGTCAGTTCCCCAACTTTTAATCCAATAGCCTGTGTTGATGGAACAAGCCTGTATAATGACATTCCCGACTTCCTAAAATAGCTCTGAAAGACACCAACAACCTACTTTGTTGGTATGTAAAGTACCGCCTCTGGAAGGTGAGAAAATAAAACCGCATATATGAGACCCGAAGTTTTAAACTTGCTCCGAAGCGATAAAAATACATCGTGCTGATACTCGCCCAATATCTTTTCGGATATGAGAAGTTGACCGGGAAGGAAAAAGATTCGATAGCCTCTAATGGTGATCCGGCCAGGTAGCGAAGTGAATTGATGACGTATTTTACTGTGACTTGAACCCAAAAGGGATATACAAGAAGTTTTGGAGACATTAAAACCAACGGTCAATAATATTATACGACAAAAGTAAAGTAATGCCATAGGTGTATTTGCTCCTAATCTTAAGTGCATAATAATTTGTTTCCCGTTTAGTTATGAAATATTCATATCGTTGATTCCTCTGCTAGCATCCCTTCTTCATTACTTACTTACTTACTTACGCCTGTTACTCCCAATGGAGCATAGGCCGCCGACCAGCATTCTCCAACCCACTCTGTCCTCCGCCTTCTTTTCTAGTTCCATCCAATTCTTGTTCATTTTTCTCATGTCTATCTCCATTTCTCGGCGTAATGTGTTCTTTGGTCTTCCTCTTTTCCTTTGGCCTTGAGGATTCCATGTGAGGGCTTGTCTTGTAACGCAGTTGGGTGCTTTCCTCAATGTGTGTCCTATCCACTTCCAGCGCTTCTTCCTGATTTCTTCCTCCTCTGAGATCTGGTTTGTTCTCTCCCACAGTACGTTGTTGCTAATAGTGTCCCTTCTTCATTGGTCGATAAAATTCAAAAGCTAACTACGTCGAATCCATAGCTGTTGAAGTTAGTCATTACGTAGTCCATCAAATAGTTAAAATCACTAGCCCCCGAATGCCCTGGTATGGCCAAGAGTGGGGTGGGCCCGCCCTCCCTCTCCAAATGCTCTCACATGGCCACGCGTATACAGCCTCTGCCAGGGAAGTCCTACTCACTGCCTTCTCGTGATGAGGGTGTTGTTTACGAAAATGAGAGGAGAAAAAGAGAATGTCCGGCGCTTTAACCGGATTCCAAACCAATGGTGCACATGGGCTCCAGTATCCTGAGCGAACAAATGTCGTATGAACCAATCGTTGACCACCGGTTACCATGGGACTGCATCTCTTCACCATGCTCCATTGCCTTGCAGGTCAGACCTTTAGGTCAAACGCTTGGGGTGTGGCCCCCTAAGAAAACCACCTGCTTCGGTTTCAGCACCCGGGCAGTATCACAGCCCACACACAAATAAAATGAAAATGACGACATTTACTGAAAATTCTGTGCACAATTCGATTAACAGTCAAACAATTTACATTATTACTATTATTTACTACATAATTTATTCACTCTCTTTTATTCCCACTTTATGTATCCTTATTTTTCGACTTATACAGCAGCTTGCCTATGGTGGAAACTCGGTTCCGTCTAAACGTTCTCGAGTCACTGTCCGGTTGAAAATTGTATGCTACCACCAAATACGAATGCTGAAGCGGTTTTCTTGAAACCACGTGCACCATTCAAACTCGCTGCCTTCAACGTTCGCACACTAATTCAGGTCGGACAACAGATAGGGCTGGCTATGTCTTTAGGAAGTCTTAGTATCGACGTTTGTTGTCTATCCGAGACCCGTATTCAAGACTCTGGTGAAGTACTACAAATTCGCTCTCCATCCGTCGCTTCAAAACGCTTGTTTTACGTGCGTTTATCCAGAGACCCTGTGGCATCTTCATCTGGTCTTGCTGGCGTTGGTATCGCACTAAGCCCTAGAGCTGAGGCAGCATCAATCGATTGGATCCCCATTAACAGTCGGTTATGTGCCATCGATGACATTCTAAAAACAGCTCTGATGGATGTAAGTAATGGTGGTGTGGATCTATTGCTTGGAGAAAGACTTCTCGACCTTGAGTATGCGGACGATATTGTCTTACTGTGCGATAATGCCCAAGCCATGCAATCCGCACTTAATCAGTTGGCAATCAGTGTCCGTATGTATGGTATGTGCTTTGCACCTTCGAAGTGCAAAGTACTTCTACAAGACTGTCAGGATCCTAATCCTGTACTCACCCTGGATGGTGAGCAGATAGAAGTAGTCGAGAAGTTCCTGTATCTAGGTAGCTGCATAAGTGCTGGTGGTGGCGTAAGTGATGAGATCAATGCACGTACAGTGTAAGCCAGAGCGGCTTATGCCAATTTGGGCCATCTTTTGCGCCTTCGTGATGTCAGTCTGGCTGTAAAAGGTCGGATCTACAATGCGTCGGTGAGCGCAGTTCTGCTCTATGCTTGTGAAGCCTTACCTCTCCAAGTTGGGGATGTTAGGCGACTCTGTGTTTGATCACCGCTGTCTCCGAAGGATTGCTGACATTCAGTGGCAACACCATGTTAGTGATGCAGAGGTTCGGCATCGTGTGTTCGGGCACAGAGATGATAATGCGATTGGTGTCACCGTCTTGAAACATCGACTTTGGTGGCTTGGACATGTTCTACGAACGTCGTCACAGAAAATTCCACGTCGTGCATTATTTACCGACTGTGGGACTGGTTGGAAAAGGCAGAGAGGTGGTCAGTGTATGACATGGTGTCGTGGGATGAAAGAAGACTGCAAAGGACTGGCATCTGTTGGTCCTTCACTTCCTGGCTGGGGTCCGAGAGATGGTGCAACACAGTGGCTAGAGACGTTATCAGATATGGCTCAGAATAGAAGCCAGTGGCGATCCTGCTGTAACCTTCTTTTACTTTCTTCATAAAAAGTGGTTGTAACTTCCTTAACTGAAAGAATTCTTTCTGGTTCTACCCTTCCGTTTCCCCCATTATTACTATCATTATCATTATTATTACACTACCTTACACTAAAATGTATAATGGATAGGGAGTGAAGTAGTCGAACGCGTTGACAACTTCACTTATCTTGGAAGTCTGATCAGCCCTAATGGGTTGGTATCGGACGAAATCTCAGCACGGATTCGAAAAGCTCGCTTGGCTTTTGCCAACTTGCGCCACCTATGGCGAAGGCGAGATATCCGTCTATCAATAAAAAAACGAGTATACTGCGCGGCAGTCCGTTCTGTTTTAATTTACGGCAGCGAAACATGGCCATTAAGAGTAGAAGACACTCGTAAGCTATTAGTATTTGACCACAGATGCCTTAGAAATATTGCTGGCGTCTGCTGGGATCACCGGGTAAGTAATAGTGAGGTTAGACGCAGGGTATTAGGGAATGATGGTAAATCAGTTGATGAGGTTGTGAATCTTCATCGACTGAGATGGTTGGGCCACGTGTTACGTATGCCTGAACACCGATTACCACGACGTGCAATGCTATCCGGTATTGGAAATGGTTGGAAGAAAGTTAGGGGCGGCCAAACCAAAACGTGGCATCAGTGCTTGAAGACACTAACTTCTAGTCTGAGCCATGTTGGTAGATGCAGACTACTTGGTTGGGGTCCGCGTGACTATCGTAACCAATGGTTGGAGACTCGTGGTGACATGGCTCAGAATCGATCACAATGGCGTCGGTGTATACACTCCCTGTCTCCCCTTAAACTAAGAGATTAAAATCGCTTCATATCTTTCTTTCTACGAACCAATTCTTTCTTATTGTACTATATCTCTATATGCAATCTTTCTCTTACATATTACTACCTTTGACCTAACCACTGCTATGAATCCGGTGTTCATCTTGTTGTGCTGATGCGGTATGGCAACCTGGACTGATGCACATATGTGCCTGGTCCTACGTTGTAGCTGACTGACTGACCTTACACTAAGCTGGTCGTTATTGTTCTTTTTTTGCTTTTACGCTCCTTACCTTCCTTTTTTTCTTCCCATTCTCATTGTTTGTGTGGCGCATATATATTTGGTGCCCTCTTGTACCAATATTTGTGTTCAAATAAATAAATAAAAATAACTAGACAGAGACTGTGCCCAAAAAGTAGATAGCAACGATGAAAATAAATCTACTATTTCATTTTGAATCTTAAATTATGAGAGTACGAGTAATGAAAAAAAAATAAATAGTCATACATCCTGAGGAATGGAAAAACTAAACTTACACTTTCAAACGGGCTAATGAAACTAGTTAGACAAATATTATTTGCATCAGCAAATAACCTAGCTACTTCACTGACACGTCGGATATTTTCCACACGATCTTCATCACTGAATCCTAAATTTTTATTTAAACCAGAGCGAATATTATCTCCGTCTAATACATAAGCTGATATGCCTCGATTAACCAGATGATGTTCTAGAGCAAATGCCAAAGTCGTTTTGCCAGCTCCACTGAGACCTATAGAAAAATGTTGAGATTAATAGTGAAAACTTTGAGCAAGAAAAAGTATTTTTTTATAATACTGGAGTACATGACAATCATTTGAGTGAAATGACAAAATAAAATTCGTAGTAATGTAATTTACCTAGCTTAGTTTTCTGTGATGTAGTTAAGATAATGAGCTTCTAACACTTAAATACACCAAATATTTGTAGTAATCAAATAAACTTCGAAAGTTAGTCCCATATTTGAAACTGTCACTCAGTCTCCTAGGGTTTCAGTAACTTCTACCTAAAGTTTGTGCTGATGGTGCTCCGGCGAGCAGTCAAAGCTTTTTAATTAAACAATCCAGTCTAGAGAACGAAACCACCCAAAAGTAACAAGCCTCACTATTGATGGATTATCTGTAAATACGACGAGTAGGGAAGAAGAGGATAAGAAGTAGTTCAATTCATTTTATTGAAATCGTAATAAGGGTTAATAGCTTCGTGAGTAAAAATATCAGACCCTGAAAATAAAATGGATCTCAAACCATGAGAAACAAATAATCAAATATTAGGGTTCACAACATCTAGCTCTCCTGTTATGGACGCTACCAATGAACTATTCAACTCAGAAATCAAGTATGATGTACAGGAAACTACTAGTTGTAAATTCATCTCACACCATTTTGTAAGTAGTCGGCAACTCCATGTGTAGTTAATGTGCATATGTTCGAGGTCATGCGACAATGAATTCATAACACGATTGATATGTGAACAGCTATATAACGATTTGTTAGATAGCTTTCAATTATAAACCATGTCATTAAAATATAAAAATACAGATTAACCAAAGTTATATAGTAGTCTATTCAACAGGAACTACCTGTAAACCACACCGTACAACCGTGGAACCAAGACTTGTTACTAACTGAACGCTGATTATGAGTAATATGTGAAGGTTGATGAGTTATATTTGTAGACATAGCTACAGGTTATTAAGAAACAAAAAGTTTTTGTTAAAAGCATAATAAATAATAAAGTTGTCAATAACAAAATTGCTTGTCCCACGAGGCACTAAAACAAAAGTTCCCGTAAAAAAGGAGGGTATTGGTCAGAGTGAAACTGATAAAGTGAATTTCATGAAATCAGTCAACGAAATATCAATAAGTGCTAGAAAGCATCGTTTCAGTGTGGAATTATATTCGATCTTCCCACAATACTATCTAGAACTAGTTTTGTGACAAGCATGGTAAAATATTATTTTCAAAGAATATGGAACTTTAGTATTGTAACTTCGAAGGTAAAGAATACTTTCATCTTCAAGCAACTTGGACCGACGCATATATGTGCCTGTTGCTACGTTGTAGCTTACTGACTGACTTCACCTTCAAGCCGATATTTCCTCAACCAAAACTGAGTAATGTAATACGTCTGAGTTACATGCAAAAACAAAAGACGTGACAACAGGAACTTCAACTTAATGTAGTGCAATAAATGGTTTTGCCCAAAACATATGAAGCGTTCGCCTGGACTTCGACTACTACAGAATTAAAATTTCCTTAGTGTTTTGAAAATTGATTTACATGCAGGGTCTCGTCAAGCACTATATATACAATAAGTCAATATTTGCAACAATATATACTCCTTAGTCCATACCACAATATACTTTTCATGGTTGTAATAAATATGGGGTGTTTTAGTCTCCGTAAAAATGCCGTATTGAAAGAAATTTCATAAAGATGGAAGTTAAGTGGCCTGTTGCTTTCCATTACATAATATAATCACTTGATAACATTGAGGTTGATGCTACAAAAACTTGGAAGCCATCACACATAATGTGATCATCTGGAATGGAACAGACATGGACACTAACCCACAATACAACTTCAAAAATACATATGAAAAATCACGATATTCACACACACAACTTTACGTTTTATAACACGGCGTTACTTATCTTGAATAACCTGACTTATAATTAAACGCCAGGGTTTCCACTATTAATTGTACATGGTTGCATTCCACAGAAGGCTTGTCATTGTAAATCCCGATCTCCCAATTTTGGGAACAATTTGACCCATTATTGAGAAGCCGCCATAGTAAACTTTGGAGAAATTTTGGGGAATTGACACAGAAACCCCAAAATTTCCCCAGAATCTTGCTACACTTTGGAGAAATAAAATTTAATAAAACCCTAAATTTTTCAGTCTTGGGGGAAATTTTGCGTTTTCCCCCAAAACTTCCCTTGAATTTTGTGTTTTTCCCCAGAACTTCCCTGTCTGCGAATGGACAGTCAGGAATGTTTTTCACTATGCAAAGAACCGAACAATACTACTTCATGTAAACGTGTACCATTAAATACACAAGAAGCATAACAAAGAGAATGAACCAACTTTCGATATAATGCAACAAATAGTTCCAACTATCTTATTGACTAAATTTAGTTTAAAGTGCACAAAACATAGCTTTAAAAAACTCACCTAAGCTTTCGAATGTGACTCGTATTTATACAGCAGTTTGAAACGCCACTAAAATCGAACCACTGAGCACGGTAAAAACGTTAGACACAATCCAAACTGCCCGCCGTTTCGTTCCAACGACCTTGAATGGCCTAGAGTGTGATGGCCATTCCGTATTGGAGTTGCCATCAGTTGGTTAGGTGCCTGTTGCTTTTAATGGTTTTCTGGTATCCTCATACTAAAATTGTCTGTTGCCGCGATAAAATCACAAAATCAACAAAAAGAACCCTAGTTGACTTTTCTTACCACTGAAGCCGATAGTCTGGCTCGATTGTCGCTTAGTAACTTGATCTTGGAAACCATTTGCTCTACAGAACCTCACCATAGTCGTTGGAAACCTTATCAAGTTCGTGAGATAACCTAATGTCAGACAAAATGCCATGACATAGATAAGAAGTACTACTGGAGACAAGATAATAAATAGCAGGTGTGTAATTGAAATATATGACGACGATTCGATCTACTTGTTAGCCAACTTACTCCTTCTGAACACGAGAGTGTTCTACTGTAACTAAAAATGACAAGTAATGTCTACAAGTAATAAGAAACAGTGACTGGATATTAATATTTGGCTGTGAAAGACTTCTGGAAGTAGATAGACGGTCCCAAAAATCAAGAGCAACGTACAGTCATAAAGAATGGTACTGTTCAAGTGCTAAATGCAAAAGGCACTAATAGAAGGAATGTAAACCAATTAGTGACAGCAGCAAATAAAAGTAATTCGAACAATCAAGTAACAAGTGCACAAAGACTATGAGAAAAGACGAGCTTCAGGATCAGATAAATTTAATCGATAAGCTTTTCTCCAGCCCAAAAGGCTTATTCTGTCGTGCAGCCTCTCAGACAAGCCAAAACCACAGTTTCCCGATTACTAGATCTTAATGGCACAACTGATAATGACAGTGACGCTGTAACAGCTTAGGTTGATTGGTTAAAAGTTGACCTCAAAAAACTAGGTATATGTCAAGACAATAGAACTCAAGTATATATTCACTTCCTTAATCTTTATAGAAATTAATTTTCTTATTATTTTATATTGAATGTTGAAAAGCTTTCTGTGTTTGAGCAGGTTATCACCCGCTCCCCTGTGACTGTGACACGATCTAAATAAACGACTATTCACTACTAGTCTGATTTCATCTATCAATGGAACTACGGTTAGCTACAGGCACGAGAATGCTAATGACCTTCAAACAGCAGTACGTTGCAACATTTCAACCGTCTCGTACAAACTAAATCGACAGAAAATCCACTTACATTTCAACAGAACTCTTGAAAGCCAACCTGTGTGCTGACTTGCAGTATCAGAAAGTGTTGCATCTAAACAAGGACACAAGGTCTGGTTCGGATATGATCCATTATGCTATACTGAGGGAAGCGTCTTCAATTTTAGTAAAAATGGCCTATCATAATGTCGTTACATTAGCTAGGCTTAGGCACGTTACCAGAAAATTGGAAACTGGCTCGCATCACACAAATTTTCAAGGGAGGTTGATGTAGCTAGCCTTCAAGCTAACATCCAGCTGTACTTTTCTCAATACTTTCAAAAATTGCGGAATCCCTGATAAGCAAACGGTCTATATGACTACCAACTATCCACAAGATTCTTTTCACCCTAACAGGACGGTTTCAGGACAGGTCAACCGTGTATAGCCAACCCACTGACCGAGGTGGACAGATACACAACCATACTTGATCATAAAGAGAAAGTTGATATCTCATACCTTGGATTCTCGAAAGCTTATGATATGGCCAATCACATGCACCTCATCAATAACCTCAAACAATTAAGAACCATGTCACTGTGAATTGATTAGCCTATTCCATATCTAAAAGTTGGCTTTTTAATGTCGGAGTAAACACCGCTTTTTCTCAGACTATGGACTGTCCTATTGGGGTTCATCGGAGTTCAGTAAAAACCTCTTCTTTTCAGTATTTATATTAATGAACTCCCCCAGCAAGTGTCGTCTCATTTATTAGTTTTCATTGACGATGTAAAACTATGAAGGGAAGTTTTGAACGAACATGAATAATAACAATATATACTCTCAGATAACAGAGTATTACAAGAGGCATGCCAGTTTATAGGCAAGTTCAAGTTGTTACAAATGCTTCATGCGTTACTCTATTAAGTTACTCAATTATGTTGAACAGTTACAGGACACATGAGCAATCTGAAGAGGAGATAAGGTTTCATACATTAGAATATTAGTGTTAGCATAACCCTATTGTCCAATGCTATGAATGGCGTGTTTTGTAGCGTTTGGGTTGCAACAAGTAATTAGTGGTCTACTAGGACTGAAGCAGTCAGTCAAAGACGCCAACTTCAACGCATTAGTTTGTGCTTTGCAATAGTGATCTCAGATTGTTTCGGGAGATATAAATGACGGTAGAGAGTAAGGTCGTATATTGCAAACATTTTTTCGGTGGTGCACAATGAGGGTGCTGAAAAAGAGCGAGAACAAGGGAAGGGCGAGAAACAGAACGAATAGCGATCATAACTAGTGGAGTATTGTCATTTGGGAAAGAAGAATTATGGTATGACTACTTAGACGCATTCTCTTCTGTTAGGCCGATTTCTAAAAGATTATATTTAATGAGGTCACGGAAAACAAGCCACAGTATAGCGATGAATGAACGGAGAACTATCTAACTGAATATAATTGAAAAAGAAGGTGAAAGTTTAAGATTATGTGTAGTTTTAAAATGCAGTAAGGAAAATACAGTGTTCAAGTACCAACTGGCTTTTTTTCGTTATATTTATTATAACTCGTTTTTATTGTTGCAAATTTCGGACAGTCATAAGTGGATTTGTAGAACTATGGTCTACTATGATATTAGTACTGCTCTAATAATAGACCTAATCCTAAATTTGTAGATTTGTCATGATATAACTGCCTAATCTATAAGATCTTACGTGGAAGTCACACCATCGACTACACCAACTCACTGTATCGTATCAATTACCAATACGTGATGTAGAACAAGGTTAGGCTAGAGAAAGAACGATATATTTAATATGAATAGAAGATGTAAGGTAGCATTCAGCAGAGACCACGCCTGCATGGCCGAGCCATGCCACTCGATCAACTCCAGTCAATTCAATTCATTCTTCGCGCCTTCTTCATTGTTAGGTATTCCTGCGCGTTAATATTGAATATCTATTTTCTGAGTAGTCTCGTGTTCACAGCTTTGTGGATTGTGTGGCTATTGTCCAATGCCACTACAGACTCATATTTAGTGTAATTGTTCAATATTGCTTGCGGTAGGATTTCTCGGTAGGAAGTGAAACCCATTCAGAAAACTACACACACAACTTTGGCAACTACTCCCTAGAGGTATTTAAAGTTGAGAAAGATCAAGGGGTGTTGGTACCCTATAATCCAAAGTCTTACGCTGAGTCAAAAATACCTCTCGAGATAACCTTATGAATAGCACCCAAAATCATTGAAATTATACCCATA